AAATGATAAAACTCCAGCCATCTTAAAAGTTCAAGGAACCTGCTCACGTGGATGATTTATACGAGTTACTAGTAAAAATGTGGGAGCAGGACACTGTCCCTACCGACTGGAGCCACCCCGTCATGGTCCCGATTATCAAGGGAGGCTCACGAACGGAATGTGGCAAACATAGAGGAAGCAGTCAGATATCCATCACCTGCAAATTGCTTGCCTCTGTCATCCTTCACAGGCTGGATGCCACTTGTTAAAACCATATTCGTGAAGACCAAGACAGATTTCGTCGAGGTCGAGGCTGCATGGACAACAGCTTCATTTTGCGTCAGTTGTTGGAGCACCGTCACACATTGGCGGCCCACCGTTGTCGTATTCCTCGATATCAAAGTTGCGCTCGATTCGGTGGTTACATGTGCCCTTTGGGACTGTGTACTAATGAAAGGTGTACCTGTGAAATATGTAATTATCATCCGAGCGTTATACGCGCGTAGCTCAGGCAGAGTGAGGGTGTACGACAAGCTGTCGTCGCCCTTTAATCTATCTAGTGATGAGACAAGCATGCCCACTGTCGCCTTTCCTCTTCAACTTTCTTATTTACGAAGTCATGGCAATTGCGTTCATAGGACACGACTTAGAACGTGTGGATCTGCTCCCTGAAGAACGACTTCTTGTGTTAGAGTATTCTGACGATATTGTCCTAATCTTTGACGGCTCCCAGACGTGCCAAGCGGTACTGGATAGAGTAGCACTGGCTGTCAGCCGCTTCGGGCTGTGCTTTGCATCATCAAAGTGCAGAGCATCACTCAATGATTGGTCTGGACCGCCTCCATCACTGACCCCTGTTTGGGATCAGCTAGAATTCCTTTAAATATTCAACTACCCGGCAAGTTAAATTAGCGCCTGTGGGACGGAAGGTGAGATCACGAACCGCATAACCAAGGCTGGAGACGCTTTTGCTAATCTACGCCACTTATGGCGCCGGCGCGACATCACTTCCCTGAATGGTAGAGTGTAAAATACAGCGGTGCGTTCGACCCTACTGTACGGTTGTGATATCTGGCCCCTTGGTTCAACTGATATAAAGAGGTTAGTTACGTTTGATTATCGTTGTCTTAGCAATTTAGCTCACATCTGGTGGGAACACCGCGCGAGCAATGAACGTGTTCGACGCCTTTTTTACTGCACAAGAAGAGGAAATGAACTTCTCAGCACCGTTATTTCATGCACCAGGCTCCGATGGCTCGGCCACGTGTTACGCATGCCAGCCCACCTACTCCCGCGACGTGCGTTGTTTGCGCGCCGAAAGTGTGGATGGAAGAAAAGGAGGGGTGGCCAAACGATGCCTTGGTCGAGATGAATGAAAGCC